AACTCTTGCCTAACCTAAGGTCATGAAGATTTTCTCCCATGTTTTCTTCTGAGTTTTAATATCTTTTTATTTTATATTTAAATATATGATTCACTTTGAATTAATTTTTATATAGGTATATACTGCAGCTCCATCTTTTTGCATATGGATGTCCAATTGTTCCAGCATTACTCATTCAAAAACTATTCTTTCTCCATTCTGAATTGGTTTTGTACCTTTGTTAAAAATCAGTTGACCATATTTGCCAGGTCTATTTCTAGACCCTATATTTTGTTCCTTTCATCTATGTGTCTATTATTTTGTTGATACCTCACTGTCTTGATTACTATAGGTTTATAGTAAGTCTTAAGATATGGTAGCATAAATCCACTAACTTTGTTCTCTTTCAAACTTGTTTTGCCTATTCTAGTTTCTTTGCCTTTCCATTACAAAATTCAAAATCAGCTATCTATGCGCACAAAAAATTTTTACTGGGATTTTGATTGGAAATGTACTAAATCGAGAGATCTGTTTAAGGTGAACTGACATCCTAAATATATTGAGACTTACAATCCACAGAAATGGTATTTCTTTCCATTTATTTAGGTCTTTCTTTAACATTTTGTAGTTTTCGGCATACAAATATTCCACATATTTTGTTTTATTTACATCTATGTCTTATCTCTTTGGAGCTTTGTAAATAGCAGTATTTTTAAAATTTTAGCTTCTAATTGTTCATTGCTAGTACAGTTGACCCTTGAACAACGTGAGGATTGGTGGCAACAACCCCTCCTTGAAGTCAAAAATCTGTGAATAACTTTGCAGTCTGCCCTTCATATCTGCAGTTCTGTATCCACCAATTCAACCAACCGCAGACTGTGTAGTATTACACAAACTAAAAAAAATGCGAGGATAAATGGACCCACACAGTTCAAACCAGTGTTGTTCAAGAGTCAACTATATATAGAAATACAACTGATGTGGATGTTAACCTTGCATCCTGTGACCTTGCTCGCTCATTAATTTTAAGGTATTTTTGTAGATTCTTTGGGATTTCCTACATAGACAGGAAACAGGGATAGCTTTGTTTCCTCCTGATTGAAATGGGCTTTTTATATGATATTAAATAGGAGTGATGACAGCAGATATTCTTGCTCTGTTCCCAATCTTACAGGAGAGAATTAAGTGTTTCACCATTAAGATATATTATCCATAGGATTTTTTGGGAAGATGCCCTTCATCAGGTTCATGAAGTTCCCTTCTATTTCTAGTTGGCTAAGAGTTTTCATCATGAGAAAATGTTGAATTTTATCAAAAGCTTTTTCTGCATCTATTGATATGATCATGTAGGTTTTTCTGGGTTTTGGTATGCTAATATGGTAGATTACAATGATTTTTTTTTTTTCTGAATGTTGAACCAGCCTTCCATTCTCAGGATAAACCTCTCCTTTCCTTTACTAACCTTTAATATCTGTGAGGTCTCTAGTGATACACCCTTACTCACTCTTGATACAGGTTATCTGTGTTTTCTCTCTCTCTTTTTTTTTTACTTCATCACACTGGCTAGAGGTTTATAAATTTTACTGATCTTTTCAAAGAAGTAGATTTAGATTTCACTGATTTTCTCTACTAATATTCTCTTTTCAAATTCCAATTTCTTTCAATTATGCTTTTTATTATCTCCATCTTTCTGTTTCTTATGGGTTAATTTTGCTCTTCTTTTCCTAGTTTCTTAAGGTGGAAGTTTAGATTACTGATTTTTTTAAGTTTTCTTCTAATGTATGCATTTAATGCTATAAAGCTCTATGAACTGCTCTAGCTGCATTCCACAAATTCAGATATATTGTGTTTTCATTTTCATTGTTTAAAATATTTTAAATTTCCCTTGAGACTTACTCATTGATCCATGGATTATTTAAAAGTGTGTTGTTTACACAACATTGTAAAGCAATTATACTCCAATAAAGATATTTTTTTTTAAAGTGTGTTGTTTCACTTCCAAATATTTGGGGGATTTCCAGATATCTTTCCGTTAATGTTTCTAGTTTAATTCCATTATGGTCAGAAAACATACTACAGCTGACCCTTGAACAACATGGGTTTGAACAGTGCAGGTGCAGTTATATGCAGATTTTTTTCAATAAATACATACAGTACTAAACGATACGTGGTTGGTTAAATCCACTGATGTGGAACTGCAGATATAGAGGGCCCACTATGGGACTTGAGCATCTGTAGATCTTCTACAGTGGGTCCTGGAACCAATCATCCATGGATACCAAGGGACAACTGTATACATGGTTTTAATTCTTTGAAATGTGATAAGGCTGATTTTATGGTATATCTGATTTTATGGTATATCTTGGTGAATATTTCAGGTGTACTGAAGAAGAATGTATATTCTGTTGTTGGTCCAGTGGTTAAGACTCTGCAATTCCACTGCAGTGGGCATAGGTTCCATCCTTGGTTGGGGAACTAAGATCCTACATGCCAAGTAGCACGGCCAAAATTTTTTTAAAAAGAGAAAAAAAAAAGTTCGTTGACAGTGCTGTTCAGGTGAGTTCTATATCCTTGCTGAATTTTTAATCTACTTATTCTATCAATTACAGAAAAGAGTAGTGCTGACATCTCCAACTATAATTTTGTATTAATTTCTTTCTCCTTTCAGACCTCTTCACTTTTGCTTCACATATTTTGAAATTACTTTGTTAGGTACATATCACATTTAGAACTGTTATGTTTTCTTGGCGAATTGAGCCTTTTATCACTACACAATTTTCTATTTTATCCCCGGTAATTTTCTTTGTTCTAAAGTCTACTTTGTTTGATACTTATATTGCCACTCCAGCTTTCTTTTGATTATTGTTTGCCTGGTACATCTTTTTCCATGCTTTTATACTTGACCTATCTACATCTTTATATTTAACATGGACTTCTTAAAGACAGTATATCTGCGTCTTGTTTTTTTAAATTCAATCTCACAATTTCAATTTTTATTTGGTGTGTTTAGAACAGTTACATCTAAATTAGTATCTGAGATGCCTGAATTTAAGCACACACCCCTTTACTAGTTTTCTCTTTGTCTCCTCTATTTTTCATTTCTGTTTCCCCTTTCCAGCCTTCTTTTAAATATACGAATATTTTCAGAATTCTATAATATTTTATTTGTTAGCATATTACTGTATCTGTATAGTTTTTTTAGTGGTTGTTCTAGGGATTATAATATACATACAGTAGTCCCCCCTTATCTGTAGTTTCGCTTTCCACAGTTTCAGTTACCCACACTCAACTGTAATATGAAAATATTAAATTCCACAAATAAACAATTAATAAGTTTTAAATATCATGCCATTCTGAGTAGCATGATTAAACCCTGAGGAAAACTCTTTCCTGCCCAGGATGTGAATCATCCCTTTGCCCAGCATATCCACACTGTATATGCTACCTGCCATTAGTCACTTAGCAGCCATCTCAGTTATCAGATTGACTGTCATGGTACAGCAGTGCTTGTGTACAAGCAACTCTTAATTTACTAAATAATGGCCCCAGAGTACAAGAGTAGTGATGCTGGCCATTTGGATATTCTCTTACTGTGCCTAACTTATAAATTAAACTTCATCATAGGTATGTATGTATGTATAGAAAAAAACATAGTATTTATTGGGTTTGGTACTATCCACAGTTTCAGGAATCCAGTTGGGATCTTAGAACATATAATCTGTGGATAAAGGGGACCAACTGTTTTTAAATTTTCATAGTTTACTCAGAATTAGATTTTTCCACCTGAAGTGAAATGTACAAACTTTACAAGATTATACCATTCTTATTTTACATTGTAATCATCCAAGGTATTACATCAACATACAATGAAAACCTCACTAGACAATTCTATTCTTTCTTTCAACGGTCATAAATATTACAAAAATCTTAAAAGAATAAATATAGTCCATGGTATGTAACCAAATATTTACTGTTTTTGTTGCTCTTCATCCCTGAGGCTTAAATTTCCCTCTTATTTCTCTTTTGCCTGAAGAACTTTATCATTTATTTTAGAACAAGTCTGCTCATGACAAGTTCTCTAAATTGCCCTTAATCTAAGAATGTCTTTATATATCCTAAAGAATATTATTGCTGGACATAAAATTCTAGGTTGACAATTTTTCTCTTTCAGCACTTAAAAAAAAAAACAGTTCTTCGGTCTTCTAACCTTCACAGTTTTTGATTTTCTGATGAGAAATCTGCAGTAAAATTTAATCTTTGTTCCTCTATATACAATGTGTTATTTATCTCTGGCTGCTTTCAAGATTTTATCCTCTTTAAGCTTGTTGAATTTGTAAATTTATTTCCTTCACAAATTTGCAAAGTTATCAGTCATAATTCCTTCAAATATTTTTTGTACCAGTCTCATTCTCCTCTTCTCTGGTACTCTGATGACATAAATGCTAGACCTTCTGATATTGTTCAACAGGTCTCTGAGGCTCTGTTCACTTTTTTTCCAAATCTTTTTTTCTCTCTATTACTCAGACTGAATAATTTCTATTGCTCTATATTTGAAGTTTATATTTGTGTGTTAGCTACATTCTGCTATTAAACCCATCCAAACTATCTATTTTTTATTTGGTCTTGTGCTTCTGGTCTCACAGTTTCTCCTTCACTTTGTTTTTTGTTTTTTTTTACTCTTCACTTTTAACTCAAGATCAAGAGAGCGTCTCCTCTTAACCAATCTTCAAGCAAATAATATCTCTAGTGGAAAAGAGTCTACAGAATCACTCTTAGCTTGATAATGTCAAAAAGTAATGATCAAAACTGAAATGGCAAGAGTACTAAAGGAGAGAGCATTGTAAAATGATCCAGAAGTAATGTGATTCTAATTATAGTATTTGCCACTAACTTTTCCATGTCTTTGTTTCCTCATCTATTAAAATAAAGAAAGCTGAGCTAGTAATGTTTAAGGTTCTTTTCAGCATTCATATTCTAAATATATATTATGTTTACTTATAAAAACATAATTAACATCTTACTCTTTCAATCTGCTTTTCCATTTCTTTATGCTGGTCAAGGTGAATTTTCTTTGCCTTTTCAAAAGCTAAACAAATTTTCTCATGCTCTGTATTGATATTGGTTTCTAGACTTCTAACCTTTTCATTCTTTTCCTAGAAATACAAAAACACTTTAAAAGAACATAATTAAGAAAGAGTTTTACATAAAAGTACATTAGTAAAGCATAAAATTTATCATACTCTAGGCTTCAAAGAATCATAGTAGTTAATATGTCAACTTCAAAAATATTTAAATATTTATAAAAAAGAGAAAGTGTTTTTTTAAAAATTGTATCAAAATGATAAGATTGTTTAAAAATGCTACAAAGCATATCAAAGAACTACTACCATTTCCTTCAATTCTACTAAAATAAAAATGAGGAACTTTAGATAACAACTTGCCATATTAACTTAAAAATATATAACTTAAAAATATAGAAATAAAAATTGAGTAATCTGAAGTTTGGTAGAATTTATATTTTCCTATATGGTACATTTTAGAATAATGATACTAAAACAAACATGCTGTTACAAATTAAGTTCCTTAAAGCCACAGTAAATCTGTATCAAAAAAAGGTAATTTTTACCATAAGTTCCTGTTCTAGTTCCGCATTTTTTGCAGCAATAGAGGAATAAGCAACAATTTTTTCTTCTAGCTGTTTCTCTAGAGTTAAAAGTTGAGAACATTTCTTTGTCATCTGAAAACACATTGAAATAAATAAAAAATTATTTTTAAAAAATAAGTGACAATTCAGAAGAAAAACAGTGAAGGGAAGACCAGAAATATGACATAGCTTATTCCATCTGTGTGATACGTAAGTATTTATTTCAGATCCCTATGTTCAAATAGGATTGCCCCTGAACCCATTTCATAAAAGTAGCTATTAAAGACTGAAATTAGTACAATAAAATGTTAACAGTAGTAATTTCTTGTGGTAGAACTATCAATGTTTTATTTTCTTCTTTGTCCCTTTTTGTATTTTCAACGAGACTGTGCTAATATTTTAATTTTTAAAAAGTTATTCATCTCAGTACTTGGCAATTTTCTAAGTAAGCTGATGGCTATAGTTATAGACTGACTAAATCTCCTTTCCATTACTTATTTAAGTTCCTATCCCACAGGTCTTTTCCCTAGTCTTGGCTACAGACTTTAAGATGAAAATCAGACATTTAAAAAGTACCCTCAGATAGCTGCAGCCTCTGGTTTGAAGGGTGAGTAGAGCATATACACACGTGGACCTGGTCCACAATTACCTAATTCTGTTCTGTCCTCAGTGGAAATGACGATCAGATATTCATAAAACATACTTTATCCCCTTTTCAGAATGTAATCCATAAGATATGTGCATCAGATTCACATGTAATTGTTTAAAAATGCAGATTCCTTTGCATTACTCCATACGTACTGAATCAGAATCACTGGAATAGGACCCAAAACGTGCATGTTCAACAGGCTTTCCAGGTGGTTCTACTGTTTGCTAAAGTTTGAAATCCTCTATTACTACCCCTTTTTTTCCAATTACATAATCCAAATTTTTTACTTGTAAATATGTATTAGCCATATTAACTTATACTTGGAAGAAATAATAGAATGCAGTACAGTTTGTTTCACCAAATTTAGCCACTACAGTATTTTCCTACTTTTAACATATACTAAAACAGAGAAGTTTCCAAATATAATTTTAAAAGAAGTTATAACTCATGAGGTACCATTAATTTTTTTTTAGTATATAAATCTGGACTTTAACATACAAGTTTTACAAAAACCCTACAACACTATTTTCTTCTCTCAAAATCCAGTACATATAAATAGCTAATTCAAGCTTACTTCACTTTCAAGTTTGCTAGAGTTTGAAGCTTTCTCTAGCAGCTCCTCTTGAATCAGCTGAAACTGACTAGTTCTGTGGGCCATGTTAACCTTCAAGTCAGAATTCTCAGCTTCTATCTGCATCAACTTATCACGTAATTCTTCTATTCCAGAAGCAAGTCTTTGCCTTTCTCTTTCATATTGCTTGTTCACAGTATGTTGATTTTGATCTTTTATACTTTCTGTTAATAAACATAAAAGGAAAATTGTTCTGTATAAAACTTAAAGAATAAAAACCCATTTCAATATTGAAAGATTTAATCATAAGTTTAGTTTCTGATCTAAAGAATACTAAAGCGGATGGAGAATAAAACATACATTAAGGAAAATATAATGAAGGAACATGGTAAGCAAGGTACTTCCTATTATTAAATACATAACAAAGTAGGAATAAGGTCTTCTGACTCACTTTTCTTTTTTTCCACAAAGAGCCCGTCTCCATCTTTAAAAGTCCCATTGTTTGGATATAAATAATTGTTTGAAAAAAAAAACCCAAAACACACAAACATTGTCCTGTCTCCTTAAACCAAAGTTTATCATAAATTTATTTGGATAACTTGAGATCATTAATAATATTTGCTACTGTATATAGATGTAGGTTCAAAAGCCAAAAACAGAGAATCCTTCTTATTCCAAACGAGCTGATGAGAACTCAGTAATGCTTTTTAAAAACATTGAAGGTTATCAGAGGTAGTTGTTTGAATATACCTTTTCTTCATTATAAATGTACACACCTATGCCCACTCAAAAGTAAACAAGCTTTCAGGAGTGCTTTAAAGTAGATGCATAGGGACTTCCCTGGTGGCGCAGTGGATAAGAATCCAACTGCTAATGCATGGAACAGAGGTTCAATCCCTGGTCCGGGAAGATCCCATATGCCGTGGAGCAACTAAGCCCATGCACCACAACTACTGAGCCTGCGCTCTAGAGCCCACGAGCCACAACTACTGTGCTCTAGAGCCCACGAGCCACAACTACTGAACCCACATGCTGCAACTACTGAAGCCCATGCTCTGCAACAAGAGAAGCCACTGCAATGAGAAGCCCATGCACCGCAATGAAGACTAGACCCCGCTCAACACAACTAGAGAAAGCTCGCGCACAGCAACGAAGATCCAACACAGCCATAAATTAATTAAAAAAATAAATAAAGTAGATGCATAATGTAGATGACTGCCTGAGAATACACAGATGTGGAAACAAGTACAGATGTACTATGTCTTCAAGGACTGCATAAGTAGCCATTTCCCATCAATTCTCCATATCCCTAATAATTCAATTTCTAAGTAATCTATCATTGTCTCTGTTTTTCTGTGACATTAGAGAATATATGATATATACTATCACCACCTCTAATAACTAGAATTCCCTCTGCTGATCTCATCATTCTCTTCTGTATTCCCTCTAATTACTTAGATATCTAATTTTCTCTGCTGTCATTTCTGCTACTGGCAGCCCATTGTACTTGAAGATAGAGCATGATAAGTTAAAGATGCATATGTTAACCACTAGGGCAACCACTAAAAAAAAAGAGGTATAATTAATTACTCAATTGAGGACATTAAAAAAATGGAATACTATAATTCATTCAAAAGAAGGCAAGAAAGATGAACAAAGGGCAATAGAATAGAAAGCAAACAAATACCAAGATGGTAGATTTAAACCCCAAAAGATCGATAATTACATTAAATGTAAGTAACCTAAACATTCCAGTAAAAGAGTAAAAATCACTGGTTATTAAAGCGAGAACCAATTATATGCTTTCTATTAGAAATTCACTTATATATAAAGATACAGGTTTAAAAGGATGGAAAAAGTTTTACCAGGCAAACACTAATCAACAAAAAGTTGCAGTGATTAACTATCAGATTATGACAGTTGAGAGGAAAAAATAGCATTGTCTAGTGAGGTTTTCAATGTATGCTGGTATAATACACTGGACAATTACAATATAAAATATGGATGGTAAAGAGACCTATAACCTTGTAAAGTTTCTACATTTCACTTCAAGTGGAAAAAATCTTAATTCTGAGTAAACTATAAACTATCAGAAAGAAATTTACTCCATCAGTCTGGAAGGACGTCGTTGTTGAGCTATCAAGAAAAACTACCCTGACTTCCAGTTCTTTGACAAAACCTCAGATGTGTGGCCTTCTGGCCAAGTGCCTGTGATTTCATATTGTTGGAGCGCTCACTGTCTCCCTAGGAGTTGCAACTTTCTGTAAGTTTGCTGTGGCTGAACCAAGAAAGAAGGCATATGCAGATTTCTATAGAAATTATGATTCCATAAAACATTTTGAAGAGATGTGAGGAAGGTTGGTATCTTTCAGAGTGCAAAGTGATTTGGGGATATAAAGAATTTCTTTGGGTTGAGTTCCATGGAAGTTTGTCACTTACCTGTGTTCCTGAACTATGAAACTATGAACTATGAATATCTGGGCTAAGGAATAGTTTCTCTTGATAAATAAACAATTAACCAATTAAAAAAAAAGAGAAATTTAGAGAACAACCCCATTTACAATTGAGTCAAAAAGAATAAAATACTTAGGAATAAATATAACCAAGTAGGTAAAAGATCGGTATACTGAAAACTACAAGATGTTGATGAAAGAAACTGAAGACACAAATAAATGGAAAGACATCTCATCCTCATGGATTAGAAGAATTAACATTGTAAAACTGTCCATACTACCCAAAGTGACCTACTGACTCAATTCAACCCCTATCAAAATTCCAATGGCATTTTTCACAGAAATTAACAAACAATCCTAAATATTTATATGGAACCACAAACGAGAAAGAAGAACAAAACTGGAGGCATTACACTTCCTGGTTTCAAACTATATTACAAAGTTATAGTAATCAGAAAAAGTATGGTACTGGCATAAAAACAGACACATAGATCAATGGAACAAAATAGAAAGACTATAAATAAATATATGTATATATGGTCAATTAATTTACAACAAAGGAGTGAAGAGTATTCCATGGGGAAAGGATAGTCCCTTCAATAAATGGTGTCGGGAAAACTGGACAGCAACATACAAAAAAATGAAACTGGACCATTATCTTACACCATACACAAAAATTAACTTAAAATGGATTAAAGACATGAACATAACACCTAAAGCCATAAAACTACTAGGGAAAAAAAAAACAAAAACAGACTGTAAGCTATTAGACATCAGTCTCAGCAATGATTTTTTTTTGTTTTGGATTTTACACCAAAAGCAAAAACAAATGTGTGGGACTACATCAAACTAAAAATCTCCTGTATAGCAAAAGAAACCATCAATAAAATGAAAAGTCAACCTATGGAATGGGAGAAAATATTTCTAAATCATGTATCTGATAAGAGGTTAATGTTCAAAATATATTTAAAAATTCATATAACTCAACAGCAAAAAAAAAAAAAAAAAAAAGGGAAAAGGATCTGAATAGACATGTTTCCAGACAAGACACCAATGGCCAACAAGGTACATGAAAAGGTGCTTAACAACACTAATCATGGAAATCTAATCAAAACCACAATGAGATATCACCTCACACATGTTAGAAATGCTATTATCAAAAAGACAAGAAATAACAAGGGTTGACAAGAATGTGGAAAAAACGGAACCCTGGTGCCCAGCCAGCAGGAATGTAAACTGGTACAGCTACTGTGGAAAACAGTATGGGGGTTTCTCAAAAATTAAAAACAGAACTACCATATGACCCAGCAATTCCACTTCTGGGTATTTTTCTGAAGAAAACAAAATATTAATTAGAAAAGATATCTGCACTCCCATGTTCATTGCAGCATTATTTACAATAGCCAAAATATGGTAGCAACCTAAGTGCCCATCAATTGATAAATGGATAAAGAATATGAATATGTAAAATGTATTTATACAATAGAATATTAGTCAGCCATGAAACAGAACGAAATCCTGCCATTTGAAACAACACTGATTGATCTAGATGGTATTATGCTAAGTGAAATAAGCTAGACAAAGACAAATACTGTATGATTTCATTTATATATGGAATCTAAAAAACAAAACAAATGAAGAAACATAACAAAACAGAAACAGACTCATAGATACAGAGAACAAACTGGTGGTTGCAGTTGGGGAAGGGGAAGGAGGAGGAGATAAATAAAATAGGTGAGAGAGATTAAGAGGCACAAACTTTCAGTTACAAAATAAATGAGTCATGGGGATGAAAGGTACAGTATGGGGAATACAGTCAATAATATTGTAATAACATTGTATGGTGACAGATGGTAACTAGACTTATTGTGCTGATTTTGTAATGTCGAATCTTTATGTTGTGCACCTGGAACTAACAGTGTTGTAGGTCAATTATACTTTAATGATAAAGAAAGAAAGAAAAAGAAAGGAAGAAAGGGAAATATTCAAATTTTTAAAAGCAACAAAGAAACAAAACCTAAAGAGTCTTAAAAAGACTACCTAATAACCTAGATAATCATATATAAGGTATTCAAGTGATTTGCTATTAGTACAAATACTGCAAGTTTTCTTCTACACGGTGGTTTCTTCATGTTAATTATTGGCTAAGAACTAAGTATATTAAAAGTAAAAGTAGATCCATAATGTACAACATGATGATAATAAGTTACACTGTTGTATAGTATATTTGAAATTTAAGAGAGTAGATCTTAAAAATTTTCCTTTTTTTTGGTATGTAAATGAGATGACAATGTTAACCAAATTTACTGTGGAAATAACATATGTAAGTCAACTCATTACACTATACACAAACTTACATAATGCTGTATGTCAACTATATCTCAAAAGAAGTGCAAAAAAAAATTTCACCCAATAATTACAGAATACAGAATTTTTTCAAGTGAATCTGGAATATTCACCAAGATAGACCATATGCTGGCCAATAAACTGAGTCTCAAAATATTTAAAAAATTGAAATCAGGTACATTCATGAATTCATTTGTTTAATGAAACCAACATAATGTCCACCACTAATAACACAGAGATATCTGGAAAATGACTAAATATTTGGAAATAAACACACACAAGAGATATTATATTTTGAACTGAATAAAATAAAAGCATAACATATAAAATTAATGGGATTCAGCTAAAGCATTGCCTAAAGGGAAGTTTGTACCTTTAAATACTTACATTTGAAAAGAAGAAAGATTTAAAGTCAATAATCTAAGCTTTCACTTTAAGAAAAATTTAAAGAGAAGAGAAAATTAAACCCAAAGTAACTGGGAAGGAGTATATGGATCCTGAGGGAAATGTTATACAGTAGTCCTCCCTTATCCTAGTTTTTGCATTCCATGGTTTCAGTTACCTGCTGTCAACTGAGGCTCGAAAATAATAAATGGAAAATTCCAGAAATAAACAATTCATAAGTTATAAACTGTGTGCCGTTCTGAGTAGTGTGATGAAGTCTCACACTGTCCCTTGCTGTCCAGCTCTGCCCTGCCTAGGATGTGAATAATAATCCCTTTGTCCATGTATCCCACCCGTTAGTCACTTAGTGGCCAACTAGGTTATCAAATCAACTGTTGCAGTACCGCAGTGCATGTGTTCAAGTAATCCTTATTTTACTTAATAATGGTCCCAAAGTGCAAGAGTAGTGATGCTAGCAATTCAAATATAAAAGAAGCCGTAACATGCTCCCTTTAAGTGAAAAGGTGAAAGTACTAAACTTAATAAGAAAAAAAGTTGTATGCTGAGGTTGCTAAGATCCACAGTAAGACTCTTCAATCCAGGAAATTGTAAAGAAAACAGAAATTTGTGCTAGTTTTGCTATCACACGTCAAACTGCAAAAGTTATAGCCACAATGTGTGAAGACAAAAAAGGTATTAAATTTGTACAATAAGATATTTTGAGGGAGAGAGAGGCCACATTCACATAACTTTTATTATAGTATACAGTTATAATTGTTCTATTTTATTATTATTGTTGTTAATCTCTTACTGCGCCTAAGTTACAAATTAAACTTCATCACAGGCATGTATGTATAGGAAAAAACATAGTAGTACATAGGGTTTCATACTATCTGCAGCTTTAGGCATCCACCGGGGGTCCTGGAATGTATCCTGGGAGGATAGGCAGGGACTACTGCATGTCTTGATTGCGGTGATGGTAACAAGGGTATAACCATATGAAAAAAACAAACATCTGGACTTCCCTGGTGGTGCAGTGGTTAAGAATCCGCCTGGCAATGCAGGGGACACGGGTTCGAGCCCTGGTCCGGGAAGATCCCACATGCCATGGAGCAACTAAGCCCGTGCGCCACAACTACTAAGCCTGCACTCTAGAGCCTGCGAGCCACAACTACTGAGCCTGCATGCCACAACTACTGAAGCCCACGAGCCTGGAGCCCATGCTCTGCAACAAGATAAGCCACCACAATGAGAAGACCATGCACCACAACGAAGAGTAGTCCCCACTCACTGCAGCTAGAGAAAGCCCGTGTGCAGTAACGAAGACCCAAGGCAGCCAAAAATAAATAAATAAATTTATTTAAAAAAAAAAAACTGACAAAAAGCATTGAACTTTTATTTTAAATGGATGCATCTTACTGTAAGTAAATTTTACTTCAAAAATATATTTTTAAAGAATGATGCAAAGTTCAAGAATTTTGAAATAATTTTTACTGTCTTAACACATAAGTAGTAATAACAGATTATCAAGTATGTTTGATAATAGTAACCAGCTGATAATCTGTTTCTTTAAAAAACTATCATAAAGAACTCTGATTACAATTTATAATAAGAATTGAATATAATATACTTACCTACTTGATTACCTCCTAGTTTTACAGGTTCTGTTTCTAAACTATTTAATTTGCCACTTTCTTGGTTGTCATTAGAAGCAATAAGATTGTGAGATAACTGATTAGCAGTCAGGTTTGCCTGAAGCTTTTGAATTTCTGCCTCTTTCATTGCAAGCTTAATCCTGGCACAAAAGAAAATAAACCAAAAATTATTAGAAAGATTCTATAAAAATACCACAAACCATTCTCCCCTTTCAAATTAAAATAATTTTAATTAAAAAAAAATTTTAACTCTGATATTAGTCAACTATTGGCCAAGATACAGAAAGTCTTATATACAACTGATTACATTATAAACTGGTTCAGCTACTTTAGAAACTTGATAGTATACACCCTATGACCCAGCAATTTTACTTTTAGAAATATCTGCTAGAGAAATTCTCGCATATTGTACAGGAAACATGTGTAAGTATGGACTTTGCAGCATTATTTGTAATAGCGGGAAACTAGAAATAAGGCAACTATTGATCAAGGAACAGATAAATTGTGATGTAGTTGTAGGAGAGACTCTTATACAGCTATTAAAACTAAACTAACCACACTAGTCCATCCATTGATCAACCATTCTACCTACCTACCTCGACACAATGAATTTTAAAAATGATGCTGAGTGAAAAAGCAAAATTACAAAACATATAAAAACAGTATATTTATAAATATAAACAACACAAATGAATATAAACAAACACAAATGAATTGAAGGATAGATATCCATCTCATGATGGTAGATACTTAGGAGGAGAATGGGACTAGTGTTAAGGATCAAAGGGCATTATCTATCCTGTAATGTTTTATTTTTTATTTAAAGAAACAGATTTGAAAAAAATATCAAAAAATGTTAAGAAGAATCAGCTCTTAGTTGTGGAAATATGGATATTTGTTATAATACTCTCTAGACTTTTCTGTATATTTCTCAACTTCTCAACTAAAGATCTTAATTACCAATTTTTAAAACACATCGTATGTGCTAAAACTTCAGCATCTGAAAACCGTACCTCAATTCCGAAATCACCATTTTATTTGTCTCACAGCAGCCAATGTAACTGTCTTCCTTGTTTGACAAAATACTCATCTGGTGCTTAGACAGAGATGATTTAAAACCAAACATTTCTCTTTTTAACTGCAAGTTTAAAAACAAACATATATAAACTTACAATATCTATGATACAATTTATTTATTTATTTATTTATGGCTGCGTTGGGTCTTCATTGCTGCACGCGGGCTTTCTCTAGTTGTATTGAGCAGGGGCTACTCTTTGTTGAGGTGAGGGGGCTTCTCATTTGTGGTGGCTTCCCTTGTTGCGGAGCATGGGCTCTAGGCACATGGGCTTCAGTAGTTGTGGTGTGCGGGCTCAGCAGTTGTGGCTCGCAGGCTCTAGAGCCCAGGCTCAGTAGTTGTGGCGCACAGGCTTAGTTGCTCCACGGCATGTGGGATCTTCCCGGGCCAGGGATCAAACCTGTGTCCCCTGCACTGGCAGGCAGATTCTTAACCTCTGTGCCACCAGGGAAGCCCGATACAATTATTTTTTACGTAAGTTTGAAAAATTGTGTGAATTTAATAGAAACAATCTAACAGCCATCAACAGAATGTATAAATTCATTATGAAATATTAACATAATGGGAAAACTACAATAGTTAAAATAAATCTGCATTATATAAATCATTATGGAGACATCACATGACACTGAGTGAAAAACAACAGAGGCACATATTGTACTTTCAAAAATGCACTGAACTATATATATATTTTTTTCCGGATACATCTGTATATGGCAATATTTAAAATATGGGCAAGAAGGATACATATGAATTTCAAAATAGTGGCTAGCTCTGAGGAGAGAGGGAGAGAATGGGGATCTAATGAAGTACATACTGAGGCTTTATTTCCCTATAAATTTTTATTCTAAAAATGTCTGAAGTAGATATCACAATATGTTTCCCAGATTTAGCAAATGTGCTATATTGGTCTCTTTATGTATTCTGTATGTTCTGAATAATAATTTTAAAAATTAGTTGTGAAAAGGGGCAAGGTAAGCACTTAATGACTACTACCTTCAAACTATAACAAAATCACACTTTTTAGAAATAGACAAATTCACATTTCTAAATCATGTTATATGGGAGCAAGCATATATTATCACACCACTTTCAGAATCACATATCAAGTAATTCTTGATACTGAGTCAAAGGAAGTATCAATTTAAAATGAATGCTACCTGCATTTGATTACTATCAAATTTCAAAAGCAAACAGTACATTAGAAATCTAAGCAAACAGGGACTTCCCTGGTGGTCCAGTGGTTAAGACTCCACATTTCCACTGTAGCGGGCAAGGGTTTGATCCCTGGCCTGGGAACAAAGATCCCACGTGCCACGTGGCCAAAAAAAAAAAAAAAAAAATTAAAAAAAACAATCTAAGCAAATAATCAGCATCCCAGGAAAGTAGATATTGCAGGGGGATGGGAACCAAGAATGGTATATTCTGGTTTTAACTCTGCCACTAGCTAGCTGGACAAATTATTTACTTCCTTGGGTACACTTCTTCACCAATTCAATAAAATGATAATATTGAATTAGATGATTACTAAGGTCCCTTTCAGCTTCATAATTCCATGACAGTTTAAAATTGGTAAAAGTCTACCAGCCATCCATATGTGAAACCAATCATGACACATTTATCTTATCTTATCTTATCTTTATCTTATCTCCTGATTTCACCTTTACTTTGCACCTATGAATAACAAATTTCTGACACAAGTATACTTACTTTCTTCCTAATCTCACTTATAAATATGGTCATATATATAACTCATAGAGAAAAGGTGGCCAGATGCTACCATAAAAACAATTTAATATTCTGTACCATTCTAATAGTATATGAAAAGTTGCTCAACATGGTCAACAGGGAAATGGAAATTAAAACCACAATGTGATACCAGTTAATACTCATTAAGATGGCTACAATCAAAAAGACAGACAATAACAATTGTTGGCTAAGATGTAGAGAAACAGAAATCCTCACATTTTGCTGGTGAGAATGTAAAATGGTACAGCCACTTTGCAAAAGTTTGGCATAAATTTACCACATGACTCAGCAATTCTACTTCTAGGTATCTACTCAAGAGAAATGTGTGGACAGAGACTTGTAAGCAAATATTCATAACAGCATCATCCATAATAGTTCAAAAGTGGAAACAACCGAAATGTACATCTACTGGTGAATGAATAAATAAAACGTGGCTCATCCATACAAAGGAATAATATTAAACAATAGAAAGAAATGAAATACTGATATATATCACAATGAAAGATCCTCAAAAACATTAAGAAAACGTAAGACCACATATTGTACAATTCATTTATATGAAATGTCCAGAAAAGACAAATCTCCATAGGCAGAAAGTAGATTAGTGATTCCCTAGGAGTGGGGATGGGTACAGCGGCTGATTATAAATGGGCACAAGGGACCTTTGGGGGATAGAAGTGTTTGAAAACTGGATTGTGGTGATTGTTCCAGAATCTGTAAATTTACTAAAAATCATTGAACAGTACACTTAAAATGGGTGAACGCTGTGGTATATAAATGTTCCTTTAAAACTGTTGTTTTAAAAAATTCTGTGCCATTCTTATACATGGCATCTGAGAGATTGAGAAAGGATAGAATAGTAGAAAGGTAAGTTCAGAAAAAAGGATTAGATAGAAAAGAACTGATGATTGAAAGCAGACGTGAGAAAAAAATAGAAGGTAATAAAGCAACTACAAAATTATGATCTCTTATAAAGCACTTGGGTAAAATTTTCCTTGTCACACATACTTACTGGCAACTGGGATATAATTTTTTCCAAACTTCTCAGTTCCACCCTTGAACTTTCTATTTCTTGCTGACACAAATCCAGTCTCTCATTCTGTGTTGCAATATGAACTTTTAATTCTCGGTTTTCATTCATCAGAGAAAATTTTTCTCTAAGTATTTCGTCTTTATCCTCTAACTCACTCTCTAGCTTAAGAATACTTTGTCTAGATTCAGTTAGTTGTGCCATGACTTCTGAATTTTTCACTGCCATGATCCTTAATTTTTCTTTTCCATTATTATTTTCTTCTTTTAACTGCCTATGAAGAAAAAAGCATAAAAATGAAAATAAAACATACATTTACTTTCAATAATCATATTTAGTTAATCTCACTTTTTAAATATTTTAAAGCTTAATTCTGAAATAATAATACTTGCTCACATTTACTGAGTGCCTACCTTCTGCATGCTAGGCACTCACAACTTTATGTGGCTAGCACTATTGTTACTCCCTGCTTATGGATGGAGGAAAACAAGGCAAGGAAAGGTTATGAAACTTGCCCAGTGTCTCACAGTAAGTAGTTGAGCAGAATAATCCCACTATCTTGGAGGTATTTCTGCTCCCTTTTAAAAAGTGTATGACAGGAGAGTTAGCTCCAAAATCCTGACACAATGTTTTGCAGCATCAAGAAAGTTTTAGATAGTATAAGGAAAAAAATCACAAACTATTTATTAGCCACAACTCTAAAAGATAAAATCTAATTAACCATTAACAGATTACTATGCAGCGTTTTTAAACATATATGTGTATACCTATAAAAACATGTCAAACATTAGAACAATCTACTGTTTAGAACTGTTATTGTATTTCATCAGTTCCCTTTATCACATTTTTAACATCTCTGAAATGAGGTTACACTAGGTGATGCTTCATGATTTGAAGAATACATATTTTACTAGCTAATGTGGTCACACTACAAGGACACTAAATCTGTGTTAATTTTTTCTAAATATATTCAAAGCAAATATGTTGATCATATTACTCTATATTTACAAGTATATTAACATCAACACATGTTTTATTCATTTAAAATCCTAAATTTACAAGTAGAAAACAATTTCAGTCATGGATGCCTATCTTTCTACATTATTTAAGGCCATAATTACAGAATTCAAAATATTCTATTTTTAAATGTTTCAGTTTTTTCTCTATTTCCACACAAAAATCCTTTTTTTACAATAGAATACTGTACCTTAATTTCTCTTTCAGAATTTCAAGTTCACTTTTATATAGACCACACTTTTCCTGTAGCCTTTTATTTTCTTTTTCACAGTTAATTAGATTTTTCTCTAATATTGCTTCTTCAGCTTGAACCTAAAACAATAATTTGTTTTAAGTGGATGCACTAATGTGGTCATAAGTTTTAGGTATTTCAAATTAAAATGTAGTGATTTCGGAAATAAGCAGGAGAGTGGAGTAAGTACTCCACAAGTTTAAGTCCCCAGCCTTGTAGTGAAAGGAGCAAAGTGAACTTCCAGCAACAAAGAACAGGGAGGGGGGAATGCTACCACCTGTCCAGAAATGGTTAAGAGCCTACAAGAAAGGAACAACAGCATGATTACCTGAAAGCAGAATTGTTCTGCTCTATGTACACAAGGCAAGCAACTCATGCAGAGATGCTGCATCAAGTTACTAAAGGCTAACTTTAGTGTAAATGTTCCAGAGAAGTAATTTTTGAAATTTTAGCCACAGAATACTCCCAAGGAAATCACAGCCCCAAATTTAAAACAGATAAAAGTCAAGCATCCAGGTTTGAGCAGTGGAAAATGGAGGACTGGACAGATCTGCCCCACTTCCTTTGTTATATCTATCTAACTATAGGGCTCTGCTGAGCAGTTTGAAATTTATAATCCTAAGAAGTATGAAAAAAATCACCTCTTACATTTTCCTCTCTTTCCTCTATAAAGTCCTCCCTCTCTAGGAGGATATTCTCCCTACTAAGTATTCTACCTCCCAGTCCACATTACCTTATTAAAAATCCCTTCTACAATATTTCTTTCCCGCAGGGACCTTTTCCAAGGCTTTCAAAACAGTGATCTTATTAATTCACACTTAAGACATCAGTATCTAATGGGATCTTAAATTTTTCTTATTTTTAATATTTCTTCTATCCTTCTACCTTTCTTTGAACAGAATTTGTAAATATTAAGGATATAAAGAATTTATATTAATTAAGGATATAAAGAATTTATCTTAAGGTCCAACATGTGGCCTCCCTCCAAACAGGTTTATTATCATGTGGTATTACTTGAAGATATTCAATGAATGTAATTAAGCCACTATATTACTATGTAGAACCTATTCAAGGAACCTTCCCTCTGAGAGGCAGAAGTGAGCCTCTCTCAGGGTGTTATGTCTAAGGAGACCAATTAAAGGCTACATAATCTACTCTGCCTTCATTTTCACTGAGGTGACAGGAACAAATTTCCTGCTTTTACTTCTATAGCTCTAAACTGCTCACTCACCCCATCTTTCTCTACATTTCGTCCCGTGTCTCCACTCTTTTCCTTCTCTGGATAAGAAAGTTTCTGCTCATTATAAGAAGATGGTAAATATTATACTTAACTAATAATTATAAATTCTTTATTTCAATGATTTTATTATAAATGAGATCATAAAAATTACTCCCCACTTTAACCATAAATAAAGATATTCTATTTATGTCTATATTTTCAGAATGTGGATGGTAATACAAAACACTGAATTTGCACAACTGCCTCTTACCTTTTCCAGTTTTTCAGTCACCTTTTCTTTATAATGTTGGAAAGCTTTACTTAGCTCTTCAGCATTATATAGTGCTTCATTCCTTTGTTGTTCAGCTCTAAAATTTAATGAGATAATTAATAAAAGAATGCTCTGTACTTGTGTATTTAAGTTCCAAAATAACCTATATTTAATTATAAGGAATAACTAGAGAGAAGCAGATTTTTTGGTGTTAAAAAGGAGTATAAGCCTTAAAATGGTAAAATGAAAAATGAAGACTAGACTACAATAATTTCCTCACTATGATATCTATATGAAAAATAAAATAGAACATAAAATACTTATAAACTTTGAAACATACATTCTTATGTGTTGGCAATTTTTTCTCTGTCTGGAAAAGACAGATTAGGGAAGTTGCCTGAGGCTATATGATAAATTTTCAAAGATCAGGTATTACAGAATCAATCCACTGTCTAGTATATTAAAAATACTCAGTAGGGCTTCCCTGGTGGCGCAGTGGTTGAGAGTCCGCCTGCCGATGCAGGGGACACGGGTTCGTGCCCCGGTCCGGAAAGATCCCACATGCTGCGGAGTGGCTGGGCCCGTGAGCCATGGCCGCTGAGCCTGTGCGTCCGGAGCCTGCTCCGCAATGGGAGAGGCCACAACAGTGAGAGGCCCACATACTGCAAAAAAAAAAAAAAAAAAAAAAAAGTACTCAGTAGATCCTGTGATCTTTGAAAAGGCCAAGTAAATTTTCAAAAAAGATATAAAATCTGAACAACAAAATCCAACCACTACCAAGCAAGCCCAACCATTCTGTCTCACCTCTTAGTTCATCCTGACCTTTCTTCATACCTCTCACAGTGAATTGAGACTACTAGGCTGGAACTTGGTCAATTTCATATCCACATCTAAAAATTTTTCTATATTTAAACTTATTTTCATCACATTATTTTGAAGTTAGTGACTCTTCTCTTATCCAAGGTGAATTCCTTTATCTATACTCTGGATCTTAGTTCTTCCCTTTCAGGACTCTTCTGTATTTTCAGTCTCTTCTCTATTGGCTTACAAATTCAAGTGAAAGTATCTCTTATTTCCTGAATATATGGGGTTCTTAAATTTGGACAGCAACTGTGGATATCAGAGATGTTTGTCTGGTTCCAAGTTTCAAATAAAAAAGAGTTTAAACAATAAGGGATTTATTTGAAAATCTACGAGAATATATTCCATTCCTTAGTTGGCATAGCTGGAATTCAGAGAGTAAAGGATATCTGTTTTTTTCACTTTTTATTTTTTAAATGGTCCATACTTTTGACCAGATTTAATAGCTTTATTTATTTTTATTTTTTGGCTGTGTTGGGTCTCTGTTGCTGTGCGCAGACTTTCTCTAGATGCAGCGAGCGGGGGCTATTCCTCGTTGCAGTGCGCGGGCTTCTCATTGCGGTGGCTTCTCTTGTTGCAGAGCATGGGCTCTAGGTGCACAGTAGTTGTGGCACGTGGGCTCAGTAGTTGTGGCTTGCAGGCTCTAGAGTGCAGGCTCAATAGTTGTGGCTCACGGGCTTAGTTGCTACACAGCATGTGGGATCTTCCCAGACCAGGGCTCAAATCCGTGTCCCCTGCATTGGCAGGCGGATCCTTAACCACTGTGCCACCAGGGAAGTCCTACCACCAATATTTATAAAAAGGTCATAATATTTTCAGCCACACAGAAAAGAATGGATAAATATATACATGTACTCCCAACCCAACTTTTGTGAATCTTAACTCTTTGCTATTTTTGTTTCATGTAGCCTTTTTATTTTAAGCAAACAAAACATTATAGACATTACAGAGTTGAGGTCCCTGTTCACCTCCAAATCCTATTCCCCTGACTTTTTCCACAGTGTGACTTTGTTTTATTATCATCATACATTTTGTACATTCACATGTTGACCAAAATATCCACAAACAATACATCATAGTTCATCCACTGTAAGAGGCACATTGTTTTCACATTTTTAACATCTCTAAAATTATCATGTATTTTACGATTGATGGTATACCATAGTTTCATGATATTTTTTCTTAGTGATTACTAAAATAACGGTACACCTTAAAATCTGTGGAATCTTACATTCAATGAAATATCGTAATCTTCTGTCACGGTATTCAATTCATTGGGCCCTAGAGCCACAGTGTTTGGGTTCAAATTCTACCTCTACCACTTTCTAAATGGGTGACCTTAACTTCTCTCTAATTCAGTTTCTTCATCTATAAAATGAGGATATTATCAAACTCTTATGATTGTATGAGGAATAAATAAGTTATATACCTAAAGCACTTAGAAAAGTGCTTACACATAATAAATGCTCAGTGAGTTACTACAATACCATCAAATTTAAAACTTTTGCCAATCTAATAGTAAGACATGTTTGTAGCTTTACAACCTCACTGTAGTTTTAATTTACATTTTTGATGACAGTGAGATTAAGCAGCTTTCATGTTTCATTGGATATTTGAGTTTCCTGTCCTTTACCTCTACAGATTCTTTGTCTTTTATTACTGGATATCTCCCCCCAACCCTGCTTTTTCTTATTTTGTGAGAGTTCTTTACAAATTCTGGATATTAATCTTTGTGAATTATATTACTTGCAAATATTTCCCCAACATTAGTCTTGTCTTTTTCACTTTTTATTTGATGAGTTTTATAAACAGAAGGTTTTTATTTTAATGGACTTAAAATTTAGCAATCTTTTCCTGTAATATTCATGCTTTTTTGCTCTCATTTTAAAACATTCTTCCCTACCATGAGACAACACATAAACTATTCTCATATAAAACATTCTTCCCGGGGCTTCCCTGGTGGCGCAGTGGTTGAGAGTCCGCCTGCCGATGCAGGGGACGCGGGTTCGTGCCCCTGTCCGGGAGGATCCCACATCCCACATGCCACAGAGCGGCTGGGCCCGTGAGCCATGGCCGCTGAGCCTGCGCAGCCGGAGCCTGTGCTCCGCAACGGGAGAGACCACAACAGTGAGAGGCCCGCATACCGCAAAAAACAAAAAACAAAAAACATTCTTCCCTACCATGAGACAACACAGAAACTATTCTCATATATTTTCTCTAAAAGTTTTACTTTTCACAATTGGGCCTTTAATCCATCTAGAATTTTTTTTTTAATGCAGGTATAGTATGAGGCAGGAATCTAATTTAATTTTTTTAATCAATAATCAATTCTCCCAGAATTATTTTTTGAAGTTTTTTTTTTTAATATTTATTTATTTATTTAGGCTGCACCGGGTCTTAGTTGCAGCATGTGGGATCTTCGTAGCTGCATGTGGGATCTTTCAGTTGCAGCATGCAGACTTCTTAGTTGCAGCATGCACTCTTAGTTGTGGCATGGAAACTCCTTAGTTGCAGCATGCATGCAGGATCTAGTTCCCCGACCAGGGATCGAACCTGGGCCCCCTGCATTGGGAGAGCAGAATCTTACCCAATGGAACCCCAGGGAAGTCCTCCTGAAGTATTTGTTTTTAAAATTAAGTCAGTACACCCTTAATGTGGATTCACCACTTTTTGATATTTTGCCACCATTGCTTTATGTCTCTCACTTGAGAGATTTTTTTGCACTGAACTATATATCCTAGAGTAACTAGTAACATAACCACAAGTAACTATCAAATTTAAGAAATCTAAAATTGATACAATATTACTGTCTAATACACAATTCATATATAAATTTTATTAATTATTCCAATAATTTCTTTATGGAATTTTCCTTCTTCTGATCCAGGGTCACTTACTGCTTTTAGTTATCATGTCTCTTTAGTCTCCTTAATCTGGAACATCTTCTCAGCTTTTCTCAGTCTTTCATGACAGTGACATTTTTGAAGAATAAACAGTTGTTTTACAGAAGACCAACCTGAGCTTGTCTGATGTTTCCTCATGATTAGTTTCAGGCTATTCATTCTCAAGAGGCATACCACATAAATGGTGTTGTACCCTTCTCACTATATCACATATGAAACACATGATGTCAGTTTGTCCAGCACCTTAATTATTGATTCTTCCATCCTTTGCCCTGATTTGTAATGCCACCTGTTACATTATGAAGATTCCACTGTATGCATGTTTGCTTAAGAGTCTCTGTTCTGTACCACTGACTTTTTTGTTTATTCCTATACCAATATCACATTGACTTAATTAGTATAACTTTAGAAGTCTTGTTATCTATAGACATGTTCTCTACCTTGGTCTACCGCTTCAAAAGTGCCTTGTTTGTTCTTGGACATTGGTTCTTCCACATGATTTTTAGGGTCAGTTCATTAAGTTCTACCAAAAATTTTGTTGGGATATCGATTGGAATTGTACTGAATGCATAAACTATTTTGGGAAAAACTGACACCTTTACGTTAGGTTCCCTTCCAGAAAAATGGTATACACCTCATTAGTTACATCTTCTCTTAAGGCTTTCAAAGAAGCTTTATTATTTTCTCCATTGTATTAAGTATGTCTTTTTAGTCTGATATTTTGACATCTCGGGCATTACTGACCCTAGGAAGACTGGCCCTCCCAGGGCTAGCCAATTCTCAGAGATTAATAAACTTGGCACATGGGAGTGTACCTTTCATACACAAACTAAGCAATCCAGAGCCCACTCCCCATTCCTCTATCCGGCTCTTACACACCGGGCTAATATTCTCCTGTCCTAATCACCCCAGGACCAGGTACTAGACCACTCAGGACAGTCTTACACTTCTGCCCACTGAGATTATTCATACTAGCCAATCTGAAGGCTGAACACCCTACCTCAACCATTTCTTCCCACAGAAACCACAGTAAAACCTCCTGTTCATATTTTCTTCCCAACTCCCTCTGCCTTCTGAACAACCCTGATACTTCCCTGTGTGGTCCCTCTACATGACATGTCATGTCTCCTATTTCTAGTAATCTGTGAGTATAAAAACTTCTTCATTTATGACAGCCATTTCCATGTCTATCTTGCCATACCTGATTAAAACAAATCCTGAGTACATTTTTAAACCTCCATTAAGATTGTACCTATCTTCTGTAGATTTTTTCAGATTTAACTTATAGTTATTTTATTTTAATTTTTTATTGAGTGAAGTGCTCACATCTTAAGTGAATGAATTTGTACATATGTATGTACCCACATAACTACTATCCAGATCAAATATAGAACATTTCCAGCACTCAAAAGGCTCCCTTGTGGACCCTCCCAGTCAATACTCTTCACCTAAAAAGGTAAACACTATTTGGACTTTTAACACCATATATTAATTTTGCTTATTCTTGATTTCTTAAGGAAATACACAGTATTCTTTTGCATCTGGCTTCCTTTGCTTAACATCTGTAGTATCTGTCCCTGTTGTTAAAGAACTATAGTTGCTTTTTCACTGATGCATATATTTCAGAATATGAATGAATATATTTATTAATTCTGTTGCTGATGAACACTTAGCAATTATTAATAAAGCTACTTTGAGCATCCTTGTACATGTCTTTTGATAGATACAGGTCTTCATTTCTGTTGGAGTGGATGCTGGATCATAGGGTGACTTACGTTTAGGTTTAGTAGATACTGACAAATAGTTTTCCAAAGTGGTTCTACCAATTTATACTCCTACTATAAATATATTTGAATTCCAGTTGCTCTACAAATTCAAAACTTGATATTGTGAGTCTTTTTCATTTTAGCCACCATGTGCCATAGTGGGACTGTTCCTTTCGTCATCATCATTTTGATTATTTTATTTTTTTGTGGGGAAATTTCTGATTGATTCAATACCTTTAATGGCTAAACAACTATTAAGGTTTTCAATTTACTTAAAACATTCATTTATTTACGTATTTATTTGGCTGCACCAGGTCTTAGTTGTGGCACGCGGGATCTTTGTTGCCACATGTGGAATCTTTACTTGCAGCATGTGGGGGTCTTTAGTTGTGTCATGTGGGATCTTTAGTTGGGGCATGCAAACTCTTAGTTGCAGCATGTGGTATCTAGTTCCCTGACCAGGGATCAAACCCGGGCCCCCTGCATTGGGAGCGCAGAGTCTTAGCCACTGGACTACCAGAAAAATCCCCAAGGTTTTCAATTTATGCTTAAGTTAGTTTTGTTAAACTTAACTTTGTTGGGAAATCATTTATTTAGTCTAAGTTTTCAAATGTATTATCCTAAAACGGTTCATAGTACTTAGTCTTATTTCTTAAGTCATAGCTAAATCTGTAACTTAGGAGTTCCTTTTCAATTCTAATATTGGTTTTTATGCCTTTTCTCTTAGATTAATCTTGTCTGATGCCCATTACCTTGGTCACTGTGAAAAGAACCAGATTTAGGTTTTGGGGATTCTCTATTGCTTCTTTGTTTTCTATTTCACCCTTATCTTATTATTTAATCACTTCTATATTTCTTTTGGCCCTCTCCCTGTTGTGGCCTCTCCCGTTGCGGAGCACAGGCTCCAGACGCGCAGGCTCAGAGGCCATGGGTCACAGGCCTAGCCGCTCCGCAGCATGTGGGATCTTCCCAGACCGGGGCACAAACCCGCATCCCCTGCATTGGCAGGCGGACTCTCAACCACTGCGCCACCAGGGAAGCCCCTATTTTTCTTTTGATCAAGCTCTTTATGTCCTTTTCCTGACTACATAAATTGAATGTTTTAGCTCATTCACATACTAATTTTATTATTTTTAAAAATAAATTTATTTATTTTTATTTATCTTTGGCTGCATTGGGTCTCTGTTGCTGTGTGCAGGTTTTCTCTAGTTGCGGCGAGTGGGCTTCTCATTGTGGTGGCTTCTCTTGCTGCAGAGCACAGGCTCTAGGTGTGCGAGCTTCAGTAGTTGTGGCACGTGGGCTCGGTAGTTGTGGCTTGCAGGCTCTAGAGTGCAGGCTCAGTAGTTGTGGCACACAGGCTTAGCTGCTCCGTGGTATGTGGGATCTTCCTGGACCAGGGCTTGAACCCAGGTCCCCTGCAATGGCAGGCGGATTCTTAACCACTGTGTCACCAGGGAAGTCCCTCACATACTAATTTTAATACACGCACAGGAGACTAAAAATTTTCTTCTGAGAATATCTTTGGCTGCAGCACACAAGCTGCAATATTTTTTATATCACTCAGTTCTAAGTCTTCTAATTTTCAAAATTTCTTCAACGGTCCATGAGTAGCAAGAAGGTTGATTTTAAATTTTCAAACATACATGATTTAGGGGTGGGGGGGCGGGGTTGTTATATATAACAATTATACTGTGGTCTGAGAAGGTGATATGTATGACACAAATATTTTTATCTTTGTTAAAATTCATGCTTTCTGGCAGAGTGAGGTAACAAATTATAAATGTTCTACGAGTGCCTGAAAGAATGTGAATTCTCAAATTGTTGGCTACAGGCTTCCATACATACAACCATTAGATCAAGATTATTAATCACTCAACTCTTCAGCTTCTTACTTTTTTGTTGCTTAATCTCACAATTCTAGTAAATGTGTAAAAGTGTTCCCTGTATGGTTACAGATTTGTTCATTGAAATTTTGTTTTCTTTAAGTATTTTGGGACTAAATTATTAAATAGAAGTTTAGAATCTTTATAGCTTCCTGCTTAAGTGTTACCTAAACATTATATATATGAGTTCTTTTTAACTCTAGTAACGCTTGTTGCACTTAGAAGTATTCTGTGTGATATTAATATACCTATACCTACTTTGTTTTGGTGACTATTTGCCTGAAACATTTCTTTTCATCCCTTTGAGTTCATCTTTTCTGTGTCCTTATGTGGTTCTTTTTTTCTTTTTTTTTTTTTACAACATTGTGTTTAATTTCTGCTGTACAGCAAAGTGACTCAGTTATTCATATATATTTTTCATATTCTTTATCATTATGGTTTATTACAGAATATTGAATATAGTTCCCTGTCCTACAGGTAGGACTGTGTTGTTTATCCTGTGTCCTTATGTTTTAAGTATGTCTCTTATAAACAGCATAAAGCTCAACAACCTCCGCCTTTATACTGGCTTTTTAATCCATTATGATTAATCATCACCCAAAGAAAAGTATTTGCAAAGGTTTTATCTTTCATTTTCAGAATGCCTATCTTCATTCTAGTTCCTCAAAAAGCTCCAAGAGTCTTCATGTCACATCCTCTCCAGGTTAAAACACAAATCTTTTGGCATAAAACACAAAGCCATTTAGTCTGGACCAAGCCTGTCTTTTTCCTCAAATCCTACTACACCTGTCCATTTATAAGTACACAAAACTCCTAGTGTTCTTCAGAAATGATGTTCTTTTATACTTCTATGACTTTGCACACACTGTCCAGAACGTGTCCATGCCTACTTATTCACCTTATGACAGCATAGTCAATACCCTACCCTAAAAATCATCTCTTGTATAAGTTCTACAGAGAGAACTAGTCACTCTTTCTCTGTACTTTTTTTTAGCTACATTGTAAGGCTTGTCTTCATGTATTATTATCTTATTATTTTAAATTATCATGTATAAAAAGCTCATCTGAGTAAGTAAAGTCTGAATTTCAGAATATTTAATCACATAGTTTACATTTACAATAGCTACATTTGTTAGTGTTTATTATTTACAAAGCACCTTACATTTCTTTTTTCATTTATTCCTCACATCAAGACAATATCATCTTGACTTAATAGATGAACAAACTGAGGTTCAAGAAGGTTAAATAGTTTCCCCAAGGTAACAAAGTCACTTAGAGGTAAAAACTGGCTGTTTGACTCCAAAACCTAAACATTTCCACTAAGTAATATTGCCTACCAAATATATATTGTAACCTGAACTATACTAACCAAATACTGCTGAGAAAATGTTCTTCCAAACTCATTTTAATGAAAAAATGACATAGATGGGTTTTGAGCAGTTTTTAGAAGTTTAAATGCACACACAAATATTTATCTACGTATGACAACTTTTCAAAAAACACTTTCTTCATAACATTTATATAATAGAAGAAATTTTTAAAACATATTTTTGTTGCCAGAGAAGATAAAAATGCAAATTATGATTTTACCCTGTGTAAAAGCTGCTATAATTACATTATTATACTGTAAAATCTCCTTAAACTAAAAATTTTTCATCTTTATTAGTTTAAAAGTTAACATTCAAAGTTAATGGTGATATGGTCAAAGCTAACTAGAAAACTTTATCTTAAGATATGGTTTATACAAAATAGATATTTTTGCATTACTTATGTATTCCTAAAGGAAGACCCAACCACACTTTCTCATGAATTTAATTTCAGAAATAAGTAAGTATCATTCATTGATAATCATTATCGGGCTTTAAGGAATTAATCCCAATTCAAAATGCCAATACCATAAAGTCCACACGTGAAATTTTTAATCAAAAATTTAAAAAAGTTAACGGACAAAAAAGAACATTAAATTTTCTACTGCCAAATTTCTGAAATTTTTTCACTTCAAAAACTAAGTAGAATTTTAAACAGGTACTATATTCTTTGTTTCTCCTCTACAAAAACAATTATTTGCTTTAAAAACACATACCTCTTTCCTTGTTTACTTTGTTCAAGTAAGTCTACCTTTAGCTTTATACATTCCTCTTGGGACTTCTGCAAACTCTGTTCCTTTTCAGTCACCATTTTCTGACTCTGCTGTAATTTATCTTCTGCCTCTCTATAAAATAAAGATACTTTTAAAGGCTGTTGAAGAGATTGTTTCAGGTAAGCAAGAAATAGTTCAACATCAGGAATTCTATTAGTTTAAATCACTGAGCTAAGAGAAACAAATATTTAACAAGAGAAAGAGAAAAGGCGTATTCATCACTTGTGAACTATTAGTTTTCATAAGGAATAAAAGGATACTTCTATCAGATGATAAATATATCTGAAATAAAAGATTATATCCTATTTAATGATCAGATACTAGAAGTATTAGATATATTTCAGAAACTAGATAAGTATGACTGTTATCACCACTATATCCAGTGATTTTTCTGACAGTTGCAAAAAGCTAAAATGAAAATGTAGTAAGTATAAATTTTGGAAAAGAAAGACAAAATTCTTTTTTTTTGCTGATAATATCATTAGCTACCTGGAAAACCCCAGGAGAATCAAAACAAAAATTAGAATTAATTAAAGGTATGACAAATAGTCCAATTACAAAATAATTATAGTATTATACAAAAAGCAGTAGCCTTCCTATATACTATCAATGAACAGAACAAGAACAAATTCACACAACCAAAATATAAAATACCTAGGAATAAACTTAACATATGTATTACAAAGAAAATTATGAAATTCTGATGATCATGAGAGATGACTTTAGTGTGCATCAGAATCATCTGCAGGACTTGTTAAAACACAGATTGCTGGGTCCCACCTCCCAGAGTTTGTGACTCCATAAGTCTGAGACAGGAACTGAGATCTGCATTTCTTACAAGTTCCCAGATGATGCTCATACTGCTGGTCCCAGAACTACTCTTTTGAGAATCACTAAAATGGAGCAATATGCTATTTAGTATGCATATATTTCTCATTTTATTCATAGCAGAAGAGGAAGATAAATTATAAAGTGCCTGATTCCTTGTATTTTATTTCTTGAACTCCCATCGAAGTACTGAGTACATATTACTATGTAGGGCAACAAGCAAACTAATTCATATTAATGAAAACACATAAATAAGCATCTCAGCTTAGATTTAGTCTTTTTTAGCCCCTATATACTGCATGTATCCTGCAGCCAAGAGGAGTTATGATGGACTGAAAACAGAATCAACAAGTTCTAACTAAGACAGTCTATACACCAATATGGATTTATTGGGGTGGGGGACAAATTTTAACAAGATACGTCAAAAAGTAAAAGTAGAAAATAAATATTTTAAAGCTGTAAGTTTTACCTCAAAACTTTATCTTGGGCTGAAACTTCTGCTTCCAAATTTATAATCTGTTCTTCTAAGATTGGTACAATGGCTGCCTGTTGTTGAGCAGGTTCAAGCATAGAAACCTAAAACAAAGAACTTTTAGAGCACTTTCTTCACAAAATAAATTAATCGACTTTGTCCTTAGTTTCTTTTACCATCTGACAGGGGTTCAGTAGAACTCCCCAGTCATTGTTCATTGTTTGTGAAGCTCATCTTATCTATCAATTTACATGGGCATGTCATCATCACAAGCCAGTTTCAGCATGTAAGCTCCTGCCATTACCCTCAACTTAACATCCCAAGATAACTGGTTAGTTATTTGGCAAAAAAAAGAGAACCTCTACAGACTAATTTAAAGATAAACTTATCTAAAAAGATAAATTTCACATACATTAGAAAATTAAATTTCAAAATCACATAAAAATACTTACTGAACCTTGTTGTTATTTAAAACCTAATTTTAGAATACATGCTTACTAGAGAAAACCTAGAAAATACAGAAAAGCATAGTAATCCTACAACTTGGAATATGAAGAGTGTAGGATGGTAGAAATCCACAACCTAAATGGTGTCTGGAAAAGAATACCAGTAAGAGAACTAATTATCCCCCAAAAAAGGAAGCATGAGATAATAGTACAGGGAGGGATGAGGTCCAGGATAGAAAACTTGGGATATAGTTCTAACTCTGTTGATGAGTCCCTCCTTTTCCTACTCTCAGAACACCAAGAGTCACATGATGGCCTACCAAGAAGAGATAGAAAGTTATTATTATTATCTGGAGAATTGAACAGGAAAGGTTTGAGACTCTTGAGACATTACATGGAATGATGAGCAGGGATGAGAAAGAGTTAAAAACAAAGAGATTAATAAGGAACACTCAGCTTCTAGCTTCCTACCCCACCTCATCTGGGGCTACCCCACAGGTAAGAAATCAAAGGATTCTTTGCTGGAGAAACTCAAGAGCTCCAAAGAAAAAGACCTCATATATGGATGTTGGATGGGGGAAGGGAGATCTCTCTCTACAAAAGAGCCATCTTCTCAACCATCACCAACAAATGAAGCCCAATGGACAACAAACTTCACCTTTGCACAGAGAGCTTCCAAAGAGCATTTAAGTGCCTTCTCTTAAATACAAATAGCCAAAACACCAATATCTGAAAGCTTCTATCACAAAAGTCAGAGGTCAAAACAAAAGAAAAAAGCAACTGGCAGCAGCCAGGCAAACATATACACACACACAAACACACAGAATCATTAAATCTTCAGAGAGCTATGAGAAGATACTGCATCAGGATGTTATTAAATACAAAACAATCAGAGAACATGAAAAAGCTCCAGAAAATGAAAAATTATGAAAGCCAAAAATAAAAGATTCAATAGGATGACAATGTTGAGGAAATCACAGAAAAAGTATCACAGGAAGACAAAGAGATGGAAAATACCAGAAAAAAACTTGAAAGATTTAGAGTACCAATCCAGGTTAGGAAAGATAGAAGAAAGAAAACAGAATGAAGAAAATTATCAAAGGTTACATAAGAAAAAATTCAGGGACCAAAGGACACAAGATTTCAGCCTAAAAGGGTCTTCATGTACCCAGCACAATAAATAACAGAGGTCTATTCCTAAAAACATAAGTGGAAAAACAAATGAAAAAATATATTACCCACTAGGAAAAGTAATTCACAATGGCATCAGATGCTTTAGAGACAAACTGGAGGATAGAAGACAAGAAAGCAATGTCCTAAACATTCTGAGGTAAAATAATTTTCAACCTAATTCAATCAAGTGTGGGGGAGAACTTAAGAAATTTCAGACAGACAAGGAAGCTACCAGAAACATGCTCCAACTAAAGAAAGAGCAAACCAAGAAAAATGACATGGGATCATGGAAACAATAGACCCAACCTAGAAGAACATCAAAGAGAAGTCCCAGGAGAGCAGCTGGGCAGCAGGTCTGAAGGGCAATAAGCTCAGAGAGAACAAGATGACAGTCTCCAGAAGTGTAACTACTGTACAGACACTGCTAAAAGGTAAATTATGAATATGTTGATCGGTACAATGGGGAATTTCAGCAAAAGGTTTCCAACAGTAGCACATATGCAAAATCAAAGCTAAGACCTGCCCTGGAAAAGGCAGCCTCCCTAAAAAATATTTCATCAGGCACTTTAGAAAATGCTGAGATGGGAAGTAAAACACAAATATCTGTCTTACTGCCTAGAATAAACACTGGTGTATTTACATGCTCAAAGAAAGGAACAAAATGCTAATAGTTCAGTATTTATTAGCAAAATTCTTTTAATATCTCTTAGACTTTAAATAATTAAGCCTCTATGACTTTAAAAAGAATCTATAGTTGATTAAAAAATTAAAATACAATTAATAAACAGAAAAGGTAAACAGACACAACAAAAGAAATCTAACTGACACACTGAAAAGGTAAACTTCATAAGAAATCAAGAAAAACAAAATAATTTTCCCTCAAAGATATTTAAAAATATAGATATGTTTAAAAAAATAATAATACTGAATGTAGACAGAGTGCAATAAATGCCTGAAAAAATTATTTCCCTGTGATTTGACCATTCTGGAAATCTAACCTAGAAATAATCCCAAACACCAAAAAAGTTTTATGTTCACTGAAGCATTTTTTCTCCTTAGGCTCAATAGTACTTTGTTTTGTTTGAAAAGTACAAAATAAAAAAAAAAAAAAAAAAGAAAAGTACAAAATAAAGACCTCCCATAACTCTACTATTTAAAACAATACATTTAAAAAGTAAATAGTGAAAGTTTCACTATGACCCTCCAACCATTTCCAAAGTTATCAACAATATTGTGGAGCAGTCCTTCTGTCCTTATATTGATATATGTCATATGCATATCTATATACATACACACACATAGACACGTGCTCATTTTATAAAAAACAAAACAGATTATTGTGTGTGTGCATGTATGTGTATGTGTTTTGCTCTGTAATATTTTTCTACCACTAAATATTTTAGGTAAGTTTTTGAGTGTTGACTGTGCAGACACCATTCTAAGTGCCTCTACATATATCATTTAAACCTTACAAACTTCTATAAAAGTCAAACAACTTTGCATTTACCTTAAAAAAAAAAAAGCTTAGTAGCAATCCATTATATGGATATATCATAATTTACTTTACCATGTCTCTGTTATTGGACATTTTGGTTTCTTCTAATTTTTTGTATACCAATCATATAGAAAAACATAGGAAACCACATAAACAGGGGAGCTATTAATTAAATTATGGTATACTCACATAAGGAAACATAATACTACCATAAAAAATGATTGTTGGGGACTTCCTTGGTGGTCCAGTGGTAAAGAATCCGCCTTCCAACACAGGGGACACAGGTTCGATCCCGGGTTGGGGAACTAAGATCCCACATGCCGCAGGGCAACTAAGCCCGTGCACCACAACTATTGAGCTTGTGCGCCTCAACAAGAGAGCCTGCATGCCACAAACTACAGAGCCCATGCACCCTGGAGCCCCACATGCTATAACCAGAGAGAAGTCCGAGTGCCACAACTAGACAGAAACCCGAGCAGAGCATGTACCGTAACAAAAAGATCCCGCATACCTCAACAAAGATCCCATGTGCCACAACTAAGACCTGATGCAGCCAAAAAAAATAAGGAAAATAAATAAATAAATAAAATAAATATTAAAAAAAGAAGTCATATTAAAAATGATTGTTGGAAAAGCTACGTAAATGCATCCAAAACTGCTTAGACTATGTAAGAAGTATAATACAATTCCAGGAAAAAAAAACTATTCAAACATGTAATATTTAACTATGTAATAAACCAATAAAAGCAGTTTCTAGATGGTGGAAACTGGGTTATCTTTCTCCCTTTTCTTTTTTCTATTTTTGAAGTTTTCAGCAATGAGAATGTATTATTTTAAGAAGAAAGATAAATAAGCTATATATTTCCTTTGTACACAAAGTAAAACCACACAAATTGATAATCTTAAGATTTTAAGAAGTTCTGAATTATCTAAATGCATAGGCTATACAAGTTCCCCTAAATAATTTTCAGATATTAAATTCACATAAAATTGATTCTATAACATGTTGATACTATATCATAATAAAAATTATTATACATAACACATTAAGGCAATACAAGGAATATTTTCCAATTATAAATCTTAAGATGATTACAATTATTTTCTGTTGGCATAGTCACCACTTCAAGAAACATACTTTTGCTCTTGACTGTGTCAATTCAAAGTGGACAGACTCTATTTTAGTCATTAAAGAATGATTCTGTGAGACCAAACAAGCATTCTGTTGCCTAAATTTATTAAGTTTCTCTCGAAGACTTTTGATTTCCTGATCCACAGGGGTAGAAGATGAAAAAGACATCTGAAAAATGAAAAAGAACAATTTATTTTGAATTATTTCATTAAGCATTACATGTAATTAATGGAAATAATGAACAATTATCAATAAAATGACTAAGTAGCTCAGAAAAATGGGTTAAGATATTCAGTCAGTGTTGGTGAGGATATGAGACAATCAGCACTCTCTCCTCCACTGCTGGTGAACATGTACATAAATAAGTTCAGCCTGGAAAACAGTGGTATACTTTGGAAAAGTTCTTGGTATTATCCAGTAAAGCTGAACATGCTAAGACTCAACAATATTACTCCTGGCTATAAATCTGATAGAAACGTTTACACTTTTGCACCTGAAGATTAAAGACATAAAAATGATAAGAAATGAAATGCCCACAAACAACAAAATGGATAAATTATTATTTAACCGTTTGTATATTTCTATTATACTCTTTTGAATATATATTTTACAATAAATTACTTTAATTTTCATGGGAGTTGAGGTTTTCAAAACATTTAATTTTATTTTTTTGAATAATATATTTATGCAATTCAGAGTCAGAATTATATATTTTTAAAAAGTACATACAGAAGTATCATTCCCATCTTTAGTAGATAGGTAACCATTTTTACAAGTTTCTTGTTTATAAATTTTTATATAACATCAATCAGCAAAAAATACGAAACTCCTTATATAGGAGAGTCATTAATTAAGTTAGGATCTTAAACCTAGTCTTCTAGTGTTTCCATACGCATATACAAGCAATACCAATTACCCACCCCGCCCCCAATAGCTCCTAATACAAAACCAGAAGAGTATGTATGTTGTTCTGCACCTTGCATTTTTCACTTGAACAACATATCCTGGCAATCTCTCCACAATCAATTCACTGAGAAACTCCTATTCTTTTTTTTTTTTAACCCCCTTAGCTGCAGTTTCTATTGCATGCTTATTCAACCAACTAGACAAATGAGATACTTCTAGTCTTCTGTTATGACAAACAGTGCCTTGTTTTGTACTTATACAGGTACTTTTCCAGAAATGGGATTTCCAAGTTAAGGGTAAACGCATTTGTGGTTTTGGTAAATATTACCAAATGCCTCTCCACTGAGGTTGTATCACTTTGCATTTCTACCAGCAATGTATGAGAATGCCTATTTCCCCCTAATATCACCAACAAAATAGTGTCAAATATCTGGATGTTTAATAATATGGTAGTGAATTTCTCTTATTGTGACTGAGATTGAACATCTTTTTATTTGTTTTAATTTCCTTTTCCATTCATGTCTTTTGCCCATATTTCCATTGGGTTGATGATTCTTCCTTATTTCTAGGAGCTTTTTACATATCAAAGAGATTAGCCCTTTATCTTTAATAGGCATTACCAATATTTTTCCCCCTCTGATTTATCATGTAACTTGTGATTCTGCTTAGGGTAAAACACAATGATTTCAATAAAGGCATATATATAATAAAAACAATCAGCAATTTGAATTAGGGTAGAGATCAAATTTCCCCAAATTACATAATCTTTGTAGACATGGAATTTGAATTCATTTTCTAAAATGTAGGCTCAGATAGCTTCATCAGCTTCCTTACAAAAAGAAAATCTCTCAACTGCTGGCTTTCTGAGGTGGGAAGAGGAAATTTTTATCAAGAAAGAGTATGATGTACATATGCAACCATATGTATATATGCATGCTGTCAATGGGGTAATAAAAATAGGAGGAAGAGAGTGGAAAAAGAGATAAAAGCGTTGAGTAAGGAAGAGGAGTATACATAGGGAGATAGATAATACGGCCAAATAAAAAAGAGGAAGAGAGAGTGAGTTCAAGACCACGAAAGATGTCTAACAACATCCACAAAATTTAGAGATAATGAATGGAGCACCTGATCCAGGCTAAACAGTAAGTACACTTTAACCACTTAATAAGCCATGATTACCTATTACGTACATGGTACAGTACTAAAATCAAGGGGGTTACAATTTACTTGAGAAAACAAGATTAATTGCAAAAAGGTAATAAATATAGAAGTTTTAAAATAGAGTAATACACCAAAATAACTGCTCTCTTGTTAGGACAGAACAAGAACCATTATATTTAAATTCAAAGAGTCTGGAGTACTAAAAACTATGGAAAACATGAATAAGGTATTTGAAGAAAGAACTCAAAGAAAAAGCATTTTAAGTAGACAAGTCTAAAACTAAAACTACTTTTAAGTAGGCAGGTCTAAAAATAATAACCTTATCTCTTGGCTTTTTTTGAACATCAGTACCACTATTGGGCATTTTACAAACTTTTTTATAAGATGAGTAATTCAAAAGTCCAAGCTGGCTAGGCTGAGAAAGATCTTCCAGAACGAGCCTTTCAGACCTTGAGAGATTAGAGGCATAACCAGAATTTTCACGTGGGCTAACACTAGAAAAAAAAGAAAAAATACATTTTAGTTCTTAGGTACTTTAAGTATCCACTCTAAATTTCTATACATTAAATAAGAAAACAGAAAGAAAAGCACCTGAAATGTTGCTGAAAATCAGATTCCAGAAATGAACTTAAGGCATTTCAACTAAATTTTTAAATAAACCATAATTAGTTTTAAACTAGCAATCTATGTTTCTGGAGCCTCTATGCTAGGATTACTTAAGATTCAAAAAACAGCCATAATAATAAAAGATTAATTAAGCCTACACATATATTTTATACTCTGAGTCCTAATATATTCTTTAAATTTTATTTATTTATTTATTTATTTTTATTTTTGGCTGCGCTGGGTCTTCGTTGCTGCGCACAGGCTTTCTCTAGTTGTGGTGAGCGGGGGCTACTCTTCGTTGCAGTGCGTGGGCTTCTCATTGTGGTGGCTTCTCTTGTTGCGGAGCACAGGCTCTAGGCGTGCGGACTTCAGTAGTTGTGGCACACAGGCTCAGTAGTTGTGGCTTGTTGGCTCTAGAGCACAGGCTCAAAATTTGTGGTGCATGGGCTTAGTTACTCTACGGCATGTGGGATCTTCCCGGACCAGGGCCTGAACCCGTGTCTCCTGCATTGGCAGGCGAAGTCTTAACCACTGTGCCACCAGGGACTGAGTCCTAATATATTAAAGGTCTTAATATGTAAATGCTTCTCTAATAGTTCTTTTTCCTAAACTGAAAGTTATACTCAAATTATTTTTTTTTAATTATAGAACATTATTCTCTACTCTGGACACATCAGAAACACATCATATAATAATGATATTCACACATTTTACATTCATAAATTAAAGTCCTACTCAGAATTGTACATGTAATTTTACTCACTCACCTAGATAACTCTTCCCCTAATCTCTGCAAACTCCATTCTGTTATCTTCAGTTCATGTCTTAAGGAAGCAACATTTGCCAGCAAACTTTCTTCTTCATTGTCTTTATTATAGTAGTCTGAGGAACTAGACTCCATTTCCTAAAAAAAGAAATGAATTTCTTATACCTTGCCTGAAAGAATCTGTGGTGTCAGTCAAAATACTCTCACACTAAGTAAATTTTAACTCATTATTTTTCTATTTCAAATGTTGTGAAATCTTTCATGGTTAATTTAAAACAAAGCAAAATGAAACAAAACACCCAGCAACAATGAATTTCTCAGCGTGTTAAGCTATAATGGAAAGTTCAACAGAATTTCAGTGAATCAATTTTTCATTATAGCCAGGGACTAGTTATTAAAGTTCCCCTTTTCTAAGCATCTTTAATCTTCTAACAATTGTGTAGACTAAGTGTTTTTATTCCATGTTAAAGATGAAGAAACTAAGAATGAGACAAATAACTTGCTCAAGGTCACACAAACTGTAAATGGTGGAACCAATATTTGAACCTAGGTCATCAGGATCCAAAGATCTTTCAATTATGTCACACTGTAGTTTTCTTATTTATTATAGATTTTCAATATGAAGTGTTCAAACTTACATAATCATGTTACAGCTGTGAACATCTGACAAAACTGGTATCATTACAGTCATTCATATTTTCTTTTTTTTTTGGCTGCGTTGGGTCTTTGTTGCTGCATGGGCTTTCTCTAGTTGCAGCAAGCGGGGGCTACCCTTCATTGCGGTGCACAGGCTTCTCATTGCAGTGGCTTCTCTTGTAACAGAGCATGGGCTCTAGGCGCACGGGCTTTAGTAGTTGTGGCACATGGGCTCAGTAGTTGTGGCTCACGGGCTCAGTAGTTGTGGCACACAGGCTCAGTAGCTGTGGCACACGGGCTTAGCTGCTCCGTGGCATGTGGGATCTTCCCGGACCAGGGCTTGAACCCGTGTCCCCTGCATTGGCAGGCGGATTCTTAACCACTGCACCACCAGGGAAGGCCTCATATTTTCTTAAAGGTAATTTATTACCACAGAAAGCTTATCCCCATCTCCCATTCGCCATGGTTATAAAATTTAAAACCACACACTCACATTCACATCACAACCACAGAGATCAAAATGACATTTAGCAGGTTAACTCACAGAAGTATATGAAGAAAAGCTTTTGTCTCTTCAACTGATCAGTATCTCAAGGGTTGTGAAATTCTCTACTAAGTAGCTTTGCACATAAAAAATCATGATAAAGTACCGCCTTTTACTGTTAATTAATATACATAATTATCATGAATTAATAATACAATTAAGATGAAGGCTTTATAATCTTTACTACTCCTATACATCTTCTTGCATAATCTTAAAATTACATTCCTCTTTCAGATACTATTTACCTTTGTCATTGTAGCATCTCTTTCATCACCCTTCTAGAATTCTGACCACATCTCAAGCTCCTAAAGGTTAGGAGTCCTGTGTATTATATTCGGGACTATAAGGCACTTAGTGAAACTCAATATTTTCAGTGAATAAATGATTACTAAACTGCCCTTCCTTCCCCTCATCTAGCTAAAATAATATGACAAATTCATTCCACACTCAAAATTTCTCAGATGTAGGGAGGAAGATTAAAAAGAAAACTCTCACCTTATTGGAAGAAACTGGCAGGAAATTAAATGAGATGCTATGGAATCTTAGTAGAGAAAATGTTTCTATCCTCTTTCCTCTTTTGTTTCCACAAATTTGCTTCTGCTTAAATAAGAAGACTCTCCCAAACACAAGTCAATGGTTAAGGTCCCCATTCTGCTTTCTTTGCAACATCTCTAGTTCCCTACAGGATGGTGAAAGAAAAAAGGGTTACGAACATTTAGGCAAATTCTAAAATGCCATTCGACATTGTTTCGACTAAATCAGCTTTATGTCCAACATCTTCTGTATATTTTCATGTAAGAATTCTCTAACCCTTCTGAAGTATCAATGAAAACGTTTGCTATGCAAACATATTTTCATTTTCCTAGTAGGCCATTTATTATCTTTAAAAAAAGATTCCTGGGACTTCCCCGGCAGTCCAGTGATTAAGACTCTGCGTTTCCACTGCACGGGGCGCAGGATGGATACCTGTCAGCGATACCCGCCTGCCATGCGGTGCGGCCATTTATTTTAAATAAATAAATAAATAAATAAATAAAATAAAGATTCCTCCTCCCTTCAACTGACAGTAGTTATGAAGTCTAGCTTCATTGCCTGTACATACGTGGAAAAGCACATTCGGCTACAGACAGGCCCTGCCTTCTTTTGGCCCTAGTAACAATGCTTTTGTAGGTATACACACGCACACCCATCACACCGAAAAACAAGTGTTCATTATACTTCCTGTATGTAAAAAGATGGGCTGTAGTCGAAAAGTATTCCTCATTTTGGAAGGAGGTCATGGCTTTATATAGTATTGTCTTGTACCAAGAACGCTCAATTTGACAGAATTGGCCCTTCGTTCATCTGGAAGAAGTGGAGGAAAACATGACAGCTTCCTTTCCGATTTTTCGTCAACTAAAATACAACCCTGCAGAGCAGCGTGCGCAGCGAGGGCGAGGACCAGACGGTACGCATCCGAGCGTACCGACAGGGAAAGGAACAAAACTCCTTCAGGTAGGCGGGTTTCCACCCTCCAGGGGCAGTCGCTCACCACCGAAGTCATAGTTGTGAGAGAGACCCACCGACGACGGCGCACGCCGCGATCTCCGCTGCGTTCGGAAACTTCGGACCCTCTGCCGGACCCCAAGCGTGGAACCCCAGACACACCACGCAGGAAACTAGCGAACCCCAGCTGGCCCGAGGTCAAACCGCCGCGGGAGCCGTTGGGGACGCCCCGCCCCGCCGCAGCCCCGCCCCCCGCGAAGACTCTGCGTGAAGCGACGCCGGACGCGCGGGGCCTGTTGGGGATTGTGGTCTGCGAGCGCGTCCGAGCCTGCCCACCCGGAACTACATTTCCCACAATTACCGCCAAGACGCCCATTGGTGTGAGGGACGCCATGAGAAGCTGCGGCCGTCTGGGTATCGAGCGGGCGCGCTCACGCGGGGCCTGAGGGAGCCAAGACCCGGGAGGGTGTGGAAAAGGACTGCTGGCTCCGCCCTCAGTCCCTACCCTTTGTAGGCCGGCGTTTTCCCTTCTGAGAAACGCCCCTCCGCCCCGGCCTTCACCTGGAGTTTCTTCAGGCTCCAGGTTTCCCTGCCAACCACGAGGAGTCCAGGGAGGAAAAGCGGAGCATAGGCGCCTATAACCCACGCCTCCCACGCCTTTTCCAGCCCGAGATCGCCCAGGCAGGGATGGGCGACAAGATCTGGCTGTCCTTCCCGGTGGTCCTCTTGGCCTCTCAGCTGCTACCTGGGGCGGCCGGCTTCACGCCCTCCTTAGACAGCGACTTCACGTTCACTCTTCCGGCCGGCCAGAAGGAGTGTTTCTACCAGCCCATGCCCCTGAAGGCCTCGCTGGAGATCGAGTACCAAGTAAGTGCAGAGGTTGAGCCAGCCTCCTTCCTTTAGCCTAGCTGCACGTCGTCGCCCTCTCACCGGCTTAGAAACTTCTTGTGGACGACCGGGGTGCTGAAGAGGCGAGGGCTGCCCGGAAGAGGCCAGCTCCGCGCCAGCACGCGAGGCGAGGCTCTCCCCGGGGTTGGGGACCGAGAAGTTAGGCGGGACCTGGAATTGACTACCCCCACCCCTCCCCTTTCCTCCGGTCGGAAAGAGGCCAGCTCTGGTGATGTCGGTGGTTTTTCTCTTTGTTTCATAATTCACCTGTGTCTTTTCTAGCCAGTACCCGCTTCAATACTGGGAATTTCACAATACAGGCCTAATACACGTTCTCCTTAATCATTGGACGAGATGATGACACTTGGCGTTAATCACCCCCACCACCCTCACTCAATTCCGGTATTGTAAATCTGTACTGTCATTGCTTCAGTTAAGGATTTTTGAACTGTGACCATGTGATTATCACTAAATCCTATTTCGGAATATTTTGAAAGGGGCTATTGATGTGTTTAATGGTACATTTCCTTCTCAGTTATATACCCCTTATTTAAAAACCAAATAAGATCTAACTGTATATTAAAACTTTGTAATCTTTCGTTCAGCATTCTAAGCATTTCTCCCATATCATTGTTTTCTTTTTAGTACCTGCGTAATATTATAGGGAATTGCCTTAATTTATGTGGTCATTCTGGTAGAGGGTAATTTCTTAGAAGAAGTCTTGTAAGCTCCAATACAGCAAATTTCGATGTTTCTAAGTAGCACTGGGAAAAAAAAAAGATGCCTTGGTGTGGTTCATCTCTCAATTTTTTTACAAGTTACCTAATTTTTAATCAGATGTTAATTTTTTATAATTGATGTAGAGAATCTTTTTCAATAACAGGTACTGTCACATATAGAGCAAAATAAAGTTATTTAGAATTTTCCTCTGAAGGAACTTTAGAATTAGATTATTTATAGATGCATAGGATAAGCATAAAGAGTAAAGTATCTAAAGTCACACAGTTAATGAGCAACACTGAGGCAGGAGCTCAGCATTTCTTGATTTCCAGTCCAGTTCAAAAGTTCATTTACTGAAGTTACCATGTGCCAGTAATGGAGAAGTAGAGACAAGGACACGGGGGAAGGGACATACAACAGAAAGAACGCTTTTCAAGGATCTTAATATTTAAAGGTTACTGGCTCATAAACAACTAATTTCAATAAAGTATGGTTAGATGCTGTTGGAGGAGGGCTTCTTCTCTGGGGTATCAGAAAAGAATTCCTGGAGAAAATAAATTGGAATCTAGAAAGATGCTTAGGTGAAACAGGAATGCCAGGAAGAAGGGGCATTTCAGGAAAAGGATCAGAATGAATAGACAGTTCTGAAAATGCATAGTGTTAGTGTTCTAGCAGTGGGCAATATGTAATGGACGCTAGAAGTGCTGAGTTTTCGATGGACCTTTAAGACTATAAAGTCTAGGGTGGGAGTAGAAGAAAGAGGTTGGAGAGGTCAGGAGGCTGGATCGTGGATCATGAATCTTAGCTTGTGTGCCATGCTGAGTAGCTCTGACCTTTGTCTGTATAAGGGCCATTGAAGATTAAGTAGTGTGGTAACTGTCAAAAATGTTTTACAGTGTGGAAGATGGATTTAAAGAGGGCAAAATTAGAGGTAAGGAAACCAAATGGGGTTAGAGAAATAGTCTAGATAAGAAAACAATTTTTATTGTTCAAAATTCATCAGTATTTACTGAGGTATTAGGAAAGAAATCTATTTTAAACTACTGACCTCTTATGATTGAGAGCTCCAACTGTAGGAAAAAAATGCCTGGGCTGAAATCCTGACTCTGGCACTTACTACCTGTGTGATCTTGAGCAAGTTACTTAACCCCATACTTTTAAAATAGAGAAAATAATAGTAAGAGTTGATTTGAAATAATTAGTTAATAAGTGTTCATATACCATCCCTGACACATAGTAAATGTTCAATATATGTTAGTTTTTTTACGTTTACACTTCTAGAGTTATATAGGTGGTATGGCTTAGCTTTATACTTTGCATCTTTAATCACTCAAAGGGACTATTCCCCTAAAGCATTCTGCCTAAACAATTTGTTTTGATTGAGGAAAGAAGTAAAATCATTAAATGTCTGTAGTCCTAGACAATGTTAGAAGGGTTTAAAGGGTAGAGATCATCTTCAACCCTTTGTCTGCATTTTCCAACTCTGTGATTAACTTTCCAATAACTACAAGCTACTGGGTTTTGTCTTAGTTTTTAAAATGTCAGGGAACAGACTTTCTAGACATTGCTCTTGGCTTACTGTGACATATCGAAAAATTTTAACCGTTTCACACATTTTGGGTTTAAGAGGACACAATTAGGATAATTGACCAGCCCCACAATATATTAAGTTCTTGAAATTTTGAAGTGTCAATATATATATCTTATGAATAGAATAGATCATTCATTTAAATTTTTAAATCGTTGAGTGCTTAATTTGTGTAAGCTTTATGCTAGATACTACAGATACAATGGTGAGTAAAAATATAGTCCGTGCACTCATGCAGTCTAGTTAAGGGGATAGACATTAATCAAATTATTACACAAATAAGTGTGATATTAGAACTCTAATAAGTGCTATGAAGTGAAGTGCATAAGCTATGAGAGTGTTTAATAGAAGGACTTGATTTCACAGTGGGAATTGAGAGAAGACATCCCAGAAGAAGTGGAGTTCAGATCTGTAGAAGAATCAGGCTTACTAGGGATAAGGGGGTGGAACAAGGTGATGGATAAAAAGAACAGCATGTGGCAATCCAAGGCTTTGAGGAAGAAGACTGAAGAACACCTTTGAGGGACTGGAAGACTATGACAGAAAGGTGAAAGTGGGACTCGTCCATCATGATCCATTGAAGTCAATGGGAAGTTTAGTTTTAGATTTATGGTATTGTTTTATTTTATATTTTAGATAGATATTTTGTATATTTTAAAATTAGCTTCTGTATTTTTATTTATTTATTTATTTATTTTTGTGGTACGCGGGCCTCTCACTGTTGTGGCCTCTTCCATTGCGGAGCACAGGCTCCGGACGCCCAGGCTCAGCGGCCATGGCTCACGGGCCCAGCCGCTCCGCTGCACGTGGGATCTTCCCGGACCGGGGCACGAACCCGCGTCCCCTGCATCGGCAGGCGGACTCCTAACCACTGCGCCACCAGGGAAGCCCAGCTTCTGTATTTTTAAATACCATTTTTAATGATTTCATTAAGCCTGACAGTCACTACCAATAATATCTTTTGTTTTACTGAAGTCTTTGCTTAGTTTTGTCACATTACTTACTTTTTGATTTAATGATATGGTTTTTGGTTTTTGGAGGAGAACCTTGAGTAATTCTTTCAGAACGCTTTGAATCCTTGGATATCTGAAAATGGCTTTACCTTTTGCTTTCTCTTCAGTAAATATAATTTTTTTACTTGGAAAAATTGAAGACATGGCTCCCTTGTGTTTTTTTACATCTAGTGTATATATGCAAGAATGCTGATGCCATCCCAGTTCTTGTTATTTTGTAGTTCTCTACTACTACTCTTTGGAAGTTTCTAGGTTCTTTTTAAATCCTTTGGAAAAGTCACTAGGATTTTTGGATCTTTTTTCATTTATCCTGCTTCACATCTATTAGACTCTTGCAGTCTAAAGATTTTTATCTTTTGGAGCAGAACTTTTTATTCTCTTATTTGATAACTTCCTCTCCATTTCTCTTGGTTCTCTCTTTTTGAAATGCTTTATTAGGTGGGTATTTGAAATCTTTAGCTCTGTCCTTCATAAAGTTCTTACCATTTCCCTCATACTTTTCATCTATACTTTTTCACCTTGTTGTGAGAATTCCTTTGGCTCCTTTTAGTTCTCTGATTTTTAGTCTCCATCCATGCCCATTCTGCTGTCATTACATTCGCTAAAGCTTTATTTGGGCAATCACATTTTTGGTTTTTCTAAGAACTTTTTCATATCAGCATCTTCATTTTCTGTAGATTTTTACATTCTTGAATTTCTCTGAGGATGTATATTACATTTATCTGAGAAAACATATTTTTAAGACTGTTTACATTATTTTTTCAGAATTTGATCCTCTGAGAAAAACCAATAACATGAAAGAGAGGGCATCAGTTTCAACAAATATTTGGTGTCTCTCTAGTCTGTTTTGAGAATTTTGAGATTGATAGATATTGGTAGCTAGATGTATTCTTTGCTCAGTGGAATATCTTCCAGAAATTCCTTACTCTTCAAATCCTTTAACAGCTTTCCTAGATTTCCAGTGTTGTTATAGATTATTTATATCATTATGTTTTCTTCATTTCATTGGGATTTAAAGAAGA